TTGAACAAATTGGTACAGGAGACCACTTCCTGAACATAACACCAGTAGCACAGACACTGAGATCGACAATTAATAAATGGGATCTCCTGAAACTGACAAGCTTCTGTAAGGCAAAGGACACAGTTGACAAGACAAAACAGCAGCCCACAGATAGAAAAGATCTTCACCAACCCTACATCTGACAGAGGGCTGATCTCCAAAATATTCAAAGAACTCAAGAAACGTCACCAAAACACCAAATAACCCTACTAAAAATGGGGTACAGAACTGAATAGAGAATTCTTAATAGAGGAATCCAAAATGACTGAAAGACACTTAAGAAAGTGCTCAACATCCTTAGCCATCAGGGAAATGCAAATCAAAACAACTCTGATATACCATCTTACTACTGTCAGAATGGCTAAAATTAGAAACACCAATGACAACTTATGCTGGAGAGGATGTGGAGAAAGGGGAACACTCCTCCACTGCTGGTGGGAGTGCAAACTTGTACAGCCATTTTGGAGATCAGCATGGCAGTTCCTCAGGAAAATGGAAATCAGTCTACCACAGGACCTGGCAATTCCACTCTTAGGCATATACCCAAATGATCCACATCCATTCGGCAAAGACATCTATTCAACTATGTTCATAGAAGCATTATTTGTAATAGCAAGAACCTGGAAGCAACCTAGATGCCCCTCAACTGAAGAACGGATAAAGAAGATGTGGTACATTTACACAATGTGTACTCAGCGGAAAGAACAATGGAATCTTGAAATTCGCAGACAAATGAATGGAACTTGAAGAAACCATCCTGAGTGAGGTAACCAAGTCACAAAAAGGGGAATATGGCATGTACTCACTCATATATGTACTTTAGACAAAAAGCAAAGGATCACCAGCCTATAATTCACACCGCCAGAGAACCTAGGATACAAGGAGGAACCTAAGAGATTCATACAAGATCCCTCACAAAAGGGGATAGGGACAAGATCTCCTGAGCATAATGGGAGCAGGGGGGGCATAGTAAGTGGAAAGGAAGATAAGAGAAAGAGAAGGAGAGGAGAGAACATGTGGGACCAGGAAGATTGAGTCAAGGGACAAACAGAAGAGAGCAAAAAAAGAGATACCATAATAGAGGGAGCCATTATAGGTTTGAAGAGAAAACTGACTCTAGATAAATGTCCAGAGACCTACAGGGATGACCCCAACTAACAATCTGAGCAAAAGTGGAGAGGCTACCTTAAATGCCTTTCCCTGATAATGAGATCGATAACTAACTTATATGCCATCCTAAAACCTTCAGCATCAGATGTTAGAAACAGAAGCAGACACCCACAGCTAAACACTGAGCCAAACTCCTGCAATCCAGTTGCAGAGAGCAAGAAGTGATAAGCAAAGGGGTCAAGACCAGGCTACAGAAACCCACAGAGACAGTTGACCTAAACAAGGAGGAGCTCGTGGACCCCCAGACTGATAGCTGGGAATCCAACACTGGACCGACTCAAACCCCCTAAACATGGGTCTCAGTTAGAAGTCCTGGGCAGTCTAAGGAACCTCTGACAGTGGAACCAGGATGTGTCCCTGGTGCATGAAAGGACTTTGGGAGCACATTCCCCTTGGAGGGATACTCCCTTAGCCTAGAGACAGTAGGGAGGGCCTAGGTCCTACCCCAAATGACTTGACATATTTTGATGATTCCTCCTGGAAAGCCTCACCCTCCCTGTGGAGTGGGTGGGGAATGGGATAGGGGGGAGGTCAGGGGGCATGAGAGGAAGGGAGGGAGAGGGAACTGGGATCGATACGTAAGACTATTAAAATATATTTAAATAAAAAAATTTTAAAAGAGTAAATTCCAGACAAGATAGCAAACAAAGAGAAAGTGATTTAACCACTGCTGTAATACCAGAGTATCTGGGAAAAAAATATAGTCAGAGCACAATAGTATACACTCTCCCAGATGGAAGAAAATTAAACATGGAGAAACAAGCACATGAAAAGTATAAAAACCAATGTAGGTAAGCTTTCTGAGCCTAAAACAAATGATAAAGAAAAGATTGATGAGCTTGCCTCATGAATGTCATCGGCTTCTATACATCTGAAAATGCGATAAGCATAACTATGAAAAGCAATGACTGTTGAAGAATGTATTTCAACATCCCCACCAAGTAACTGCTAAGGAGGAAGGAACAAGTTTTAAAATGGACAGATTCTGTAAAGACACTGACAAGCAAACTCAAAGCTAGCTCCTTCTAAAGCTCCACATGGAGGTACTAGACCAAGCTCCAACTTAGCTTCTACCTCATAAGACCATGGCACTAGGAGGAATTCAGATCACTGAAGTGTATGCCTGAGAAAGCTCAACAATACCAGAAGAATGTGTGATGTGGTCTAGCCTGTGCCTGATGAGGCTATCTGTTCTTACAGCATTCCCTGCAAGGAACTTAAAGTTGTGATAGCATCTCCTTCAACTCAGAAGCATGTGTATGTATGCTTTGAGAGCTATTCTTTGGCCCTGTAATCACATCACAAGCATAAAGGACTCCTTCCTCAGTTTCAGAGGGAGGATAGATGCCCCACTTCACCAATGGCTTGGTTCAGGGAACAGAGCATCTAATTGGAACCTGACCTGCTTCTAGCATCTTTACTCCTCTGACTCTGCAGGGAGCAGGCTCTCCCCTGCCCTGTCTTTTAGTGCTCATTCCCACCAATCACTGCAAACAATGATGGACTGCATCTCTCTCCCCCAGTGTCAGCAGTAGAAAAATCTTTTTTGCTTTGTGTTTTGTTTTTGGCAAATGTTGGATATGAAACCCAGGGCCTTGTACATACTATATCCTCAGACCCAAACTCTGTTTTCATGCCTTAACTAATGTCCAGCTCTGTTTGATTTCAACAATACAACTGACAAAACAGTACAATGTAGAAACTGAATGTGACTTTTGTTTGTTTTCTGCTTATCTGCATTTTTGTGTGTGTTTTCTAATAAATAAATGTATTGCACCTATAATGAAAAAAAATGTTTCCAAGTGATTTAAGCTTCCTTCCAGTTGTAGTTTCCTTTCTGTTGCCACGATAAATTACCCTGACAACAGCAACTCAGGGGGAAAGGGGTGATTTCTGCTCATAACTGTAGGCTGCAGCTCATCTCGGCAGAGAGTCAAGGCAATGGGAACTCAAGCAGCTGGTCACACGCAGGGAGAATGGATGCCTGTGTGCTTAGACTCAACTGGCCTTCTCTTTTCTAACACAGTACAGGGTCCAAGACAGAGCATAGTGTTTCCTTTTTCAGGTTAAATCTTCACATATCAATTAATGTAAGCAAGATAACCCCCCACAGACAGGCCCATGAGCCAAAGAATTTAGGCAGTTCTTTTCCCAGGTGATTCTAGATTGCGTCAAGCTGACAATTAAAACCAAACACCACACTACCAGAGAACAGGGACACTCATCTAACAATTCCAAAGCCCTCTAGATCTAGTTAGAAACACCACATGACCAAACATTCCTGGTTAGTAACATCACATGACCAGACATTCCTAATTAGTAACACCAAGTGACCAGACATTCCTAGGTGAAAAATGTACTTACGTCCTCTCCCTAAATCTTCATAAAAATAAAATGCTTTTCAGGCATGCTGGCACAAATTTTTAATCTTAGGATTCAGAGTGACCTACTGAGACCCTGACAAAACAAACAAATCCAAAGTTTTTGTTTTGTTTTATTTTGTTTTGTTACCAAAAACAAGTCAATAGCTCAGAGAAATTTAGCAAGTGTACTGGCTGGATTTGTGTGTCAATGTCACACATGCTAGAGTCATCACAGAGGACGGAACCTAGAAGACAAGCTATGTGTACTGCAGATGGCCGAGCCAGAGAAGTGACTCAGGCCCCTTGGGGGAGTCCAGAAGATGGTGACTGGATCCCAGATGGTTGGAATTTGGTTTTTCTTTGATTGTGACTGTGCCTTGAATTTTCCCTCTTGAAGTAAGAAAGTATTGGAGCTCATGGTTGAGAGACTGAATTTGAAAAGGCTTTGGATTTTAAAAGAGATTGGCAGTTTTAAAGGGACTGAAATTTTAATGTGTTTGAATTTGTAAAGGCTGTGGAACTTTTAAGGTTATTTATGTTTTTAATGTGAGCTCTTGGGGATGAATAAGAAAAGAAGGGATATGATGTGTTTGTGTGATTTGTTTGTTTGTGTGTCCAGTTGACAAGGGGTCAGTTGTACTGGCTGATTTTGTGTTTCAACCTGACACAAGCTAGAGTCATCAGAAAGTAAGGAGTCTCAGTGGAGGAAAAGCTCCCATGAGATCCAGCTGTAAGGTATTTTCTCAGTTAGTGATCAGTGGGAAAGGGCCCAACCCATGGTGTGCCATCCGTAGGCTGGTAGGCCTGGATTCTGGAAGAAAGCAGTCTGAGCAAGCCATGACAAGCAATCCAGGAAGCAGCCCCCCTCCATGACCTCTTCATCAGCTCCTGCCTCCGGATTCCTGCCCTGTTTGAGTTCTTGTCCTGACTTCCTTTGATGATGAACTACAATGAGGAATGTAAGTTGAATAAACCCCTTCTTCCCCAACCTCTTTTTGGTCATGATGTTTTGTTGCAGCAATAGAAACCCTAACTAAGACAGCAGGTGTCTCAGGGTCACAAAACAGTCAGTAGTAGAGCTGGAAGTGAATTCCAGATGATCTGGTCAGTAGCCCAGTTCCTGGGGTCTCATTTCACAACAAACTCAGCTTGGGATGATGAAGGCCAATAGTCTGTTCCTAACTCTGTACACAATCACTATTATGTGTGGCCTTGGCAATTTGTTTCCCCTGTCTGGCCCTCACTTCCCTCATCTATACAACAAGAAGGAGATGGGTCTAAAGTGTGTCAACTTCCTTCCTGCTCAGGCACACCAGATTTCTGTCTCATAACACACCCAGGACCAACCAATGGCCAAGAGCAGATTCAAACAGACCATGTCCACACCAAACATGGAGGCTAGACTAGGTGCCCCATGCACCGCCCCACCTTGAATTCCTCATGTATGCGTTCCTCCAAGACTTTGGCAGCCTTTCGGTCCTCCATCTCCACTTTCCACCTCTCAGCCAGAATCCGGGCTTTCTCATTGGCCAAGGCATCCCGGAACTTCTTGGTGATCTCTGCTTCCTTCTGTCTCCTTCCAAGAGAACAGCAGCAGTGGTGAGCTTGAGTGATAAACTAGAAGATCATTTCACTATGCAACTTTAGGTAAAAGCAATAAGCAGCCTCCCCTTGGTACACAGAACAGCAAACACAAAGATTAATATAACTCACAATGGCAAAGAAAGGGAGAGATGACACTCATATAGGAAAGGAAGGGTAAACCAGCAGGATCATTCTGGAAGCTAAGAAACAAGACATGAAAATCCCATTTCTCACTCAAGTAGCCTAAGGTATATACATACAGTAGATGTCCAGCAGAAATGTTTTATGAAAAGACATGATAAGTAATTCAAATGTCTATCAATGACATAAATAAATTGCATTATAGAACAAACACTACATGAGAATATTTAACAGCCTTGGGATTTGAACTGATGGCATCTATCAAGGTATAAATAATGTTTTGTTTTTTTTTTGTCTCTTAAATACTCTTCATAGCTTGGGTGGTGGGTGTTCTTTAATTCATTATAGTCTTCAGTCTGTTTTACATTTTTACAATTTCACAACTAAAACACCATCATTCATACTTGATGGTGGTGGATGCTAATGATACTGCCACATGGATTTCCAAGTTGACAAGAAAAAAAAATGTTAAAAGTTGTTGAAAAGAGTTTGACTCCAATCTTTCCTGAGGGTTCAGGTGTCCTTCTACTGTGAAGACATACATAATATTCAGAGGAACAACAGACAGCCACGGTGAAGCAGTACTGCAAGACCATCCCCATGAGAATTTCCCAGAATTGTTGGGGCTGTGGAAATAGTTCAATTGGTAAAATACTTGCCATGTGGACACAGGAAATGAATTCAGATCCCTAGAGTGCTCATCTAAATCTGGATGTAATAGGGCATGCTTATAATCCCAGCACTGAGGCAACAGAAACAGGAGAATCTCTAAAACTCACCTGCTAGCCAGTCTATCTGCATCCATTAGCTACAGGTTCCATGAGAGACCCTGCCTCAAAAACTAATATGACAGAAGACATCTGACATAGCCCTCTGGCTTTACACCCACAAGCACATACAAACATAGGCACACGAGCACATGAACATGTAACACACACACACACACACACACAGCATGCTGTCCATACCGTCCAGGTAAATCCAAACTTCGGGCATGCAGGAAGTTGGGTTTTTCAGACTTATCACAAATAGGATAAAACTGAGGTTCCAGATTAGCTAGTTGGTGGGTCTAACACTGGAACCCACAAAGTTTATTGACAAGAGACACTGAAGCCTTGGTCATTTGATCTTTACAGAGCTCAACACAGCCAGACATTGACCAGCACCCCATTTTTCTATCCATAACTTATATCCACCCTGAGCTCCAGGCTCAGGTCCCACCCAGTACCCTCCCAGCCAGCACCTCTCACCAGAGCTCCTCAGCTTCTCTTTGTGCTTGCAGCCGTGCTCTCTCTGCAATCAACTCCTCAGAGATCTCTTCATAGGGCTTGTCACCAGGGCCTTCACCCATGACCCACACCCAGACCTCGCCATCTGCTCCCAGCAGCCACTGGATATGCTTGTTGCTTGCTGCCCCAAAGTGGAAGGAGGAACAGAGAGAAAAGAAGAAACATCTGGTTTAAAGAGCAAGCTAAGTTGCTGCATAGCACATGGTCTATAGCTATCACACAACTCAACAGAGAAACAATGGCTTGGGTGAAGATTCAACACATTCTCTTATACCATCCCCTCCAGGGAGCATTGTAATAGCCAAGTCAACACCCGAGGCTAGCTAGCATCAGAGACTAACTCTTATGAGGTCCACATCAGCAATAATATCCCACATTGAGGTGGTCAGGTGTTGGTTAGTCTTCTTTGCCCTCTCTCTTTCCTATCCACTAACTAGAAAGAAGGAATCAGAAAAGGGAGAGTTGAAAGACTAAGCAGCCTGGAGCCCAGCATCCCTGTGATATACATCATGCTGTAATTTGAGCAAGAAATGAACCTTTGCTAGATACAGCCACTGAGAGCCCTTAGTTTGCCAGGAACAGCAGGCTCCTCTGATGACTGTGACTAGATCAGTGATGTTCCTCTGTGACAGGGTTGCCACAGCAATAGAAACCCTGCATCTGGCTTTAGCATCTGGGTGGTGAGTGATAGCTAGCAGGCCAAACATCTGGAGACCCATGCATGCGGGAATAAAACATATGGTAAAAATGGCATGGACTCATTAGAGCTTAAAAGGCAAACCCTGTGTTTTCTGAATTGGGAAGTTGAAAATGAAGCATTAGCAATGTGTATTGGATGCATCTGGCATGGTGTTAAGAGGGGAAAAAAACTAAAATTCAAGGAGGAATCAAGTGTGTGCAGTGAGAAGTCAAAAGAATGGAGAGAATACAGAAATTTGGGATTGTAAAAAAAAAAAAAAAAACCTGGTTCCATGGGGGTGAATGTCTGTGATCCTAGTACTCTGTAGGTTGAGTCAGGAGGATCATGAGCAATATGATGAGATTCTCTCTCTCTTTCTCTCTCTCTCTCTCTCTCTCTCTCTCTCTCTCTCTCTCTCTCTCTCTCACACACACACACACACACACACACACACACACACACAAGGTGAAATTTTGAAGAGTTTTGCATGACAGAGCTCAATGGTCTCTGTGAATGAGATGCCCCAGGACACAAAGCACACTGGCTGTGAACATGCGTCATCTGCACTCCACTACAGCAGATGCCACTGAATAAAACCCCAGCCCCCAGGACCTGTGTTTCCCAGAAGTTACCCCAGTCTCTGACTGAGCATGTCAGGCTCATGAATGAGATGTCTGACTCCCTGCCAAAATGTTCTTGCATTACACTGCTCTGTATAGTAAGGCCCCAACCTCCCTCTCTCTTTTACTCAAGGTCAAGTCAGAAAATTGTAAATATTTATTTTAAATAGTGATAAACTCATTACATAACAGCAAAAAAATTGTTTCATGAAAAAAAACTATGTGTTGAAAAACTAAAGGTGTTAACATGTATACATACACATATATTTGTAGATATCCAAAAGAAATGAAGTCATTATGTCAGAGATGTCTGCACACTCATGTTCATGTGGCACTATGCACAACTGACATCCAGTTAACACATAAAAACAATAAAACATTAAGAAATAAATAATGGAAATGTGATACAATATTTTGCTGGAATACTATTTAGCCCTAGAAAGTAGGAACTTATATAACTTTCAACCATATAGGTGAATGTGGTGATATATTATGGATCCAGGATACAATTAATGTTGAAGCTAATGACCATAATGATAAATCGAAAGGAGAGGTGATTTCAAGAGGTTTGAAGAGAAATCAAAATGTCAAATGTTTTAATTGTGTCAGACAAAGTCACTTAAATAGGGATTATAAACAGGGCATTTCTAGAAACAATGATTTTTATAAACATAATCCAGACAGAATGTCCTCCCTTCTGGATTATGCAGAAGATGTGAGAAAGGCAGGCATTGGACTAAAGAATGTAGGTCAACAAAAGACATTCAAGGTAATATTTTGCCATCAGAAAATACCTTGATGGGCTCTTGAAGTCCCCATGTCAAATCCTGATCAATCATTTCCTGTAGCCCTGGAGGAAACTCTTTCCCAGGGCAATTAAAGAACCTAATGCCTGTTGTAAGAAAACATACTGCTCTGAATGATAGAACAGCTATAGAAGATAAAACAAAAATTTCAGGAGAAACCATACATCAAAATTGATAAAGATTAGATTAGGAACCTCCCTAAAGTTAGAGTTGGGGAAGGGTTTAGTTTTTATTTTTTCAGGAAAATAAAAATAACCATCTGAAGAATGTAAAGACTTTTGGACAAATAAGAATCCACAGAAGAAGGGAGAACTACCCAGAAAAAAATTACCAAGAAAAGGAAGAATCTGACCTGATGTGATCTCTGAAGTCTCCAAATAGATAATGGGATCCCAGAAAGATAATTCCATCAAGACTATGATAACACCACTAAGCTGAAAAAGACCAACTAAAAGATCAGCTTTGGACTACAACTGCTCAGAACAATTTTGAGGTGGCCAGCTGAGATGATCCCATCTCACAGGCACTGCTCAGAACAATTCTGAGAAGGCTGAGATGATCCAGCCTCACAGACTACTCTAGCCAAAACTTGAGACAAGCCCTGCACTTTCCCATTATGTGCAGACTGGACAACAAATGATACAGCTTGAAAATTAACCCAATTTTTCTTTTCAGGATCCTCTAAAGATTGCCCCCAGACAGCAGGAAACAAATTTTAAGAACATGATGCTGATATTACCGTGAGCTGGGGTGGGCGGTTTTTGGTCTTTCATTGGGTTATGGACATTTTTCATTATTTAGAAGGATTGATTACAAGTTGTTATTGGTAATGGTCATGGAAAAGCTAAACAAAGAATATTAGATTCAAGGTTCTTGTTTTGAAAAGAAAAAAGAGGGGAATACAGATATGATAGGATAAAAAGTATAGATTATTTAATCTGCTCTGAAAAGAAAACGGAGAGGCTATAGTTATGATAAGATAAAAAGGCAGATTGTTGAATCTACTTCTAAAAAGAAACTACTAGTTTCAAATATTTTACATTGGATTGGACTTCTGTATATTGTATACAAATATTGTATATTAATATAAATTTGAGATTAATTTTGTTAAAGCATAATGTACATACATTTCTAATATTGTTCATGGTATTATATCTATACAGATCATTTATCAATGTAATACAAATTTCTAGTCCTTGAAAGTTATTATTAGGATAAAAAGGAAATGAAGGTTAGTAATTAGTCACCTATTACCATCAAACTTGTAGTCACATTAGGTATGTTTACAAGGTCAAACAGAGATATATTTTAGAAAAACAGGTTGTCTTCAAAAACTTTAGAGATCTATATAATATGGTATTTAATGTTTTAATGAAATAGCTTCTTTTTTATGACAATTATAACAGGCATCAAAGAAACTCTACATGGAGTTTAATTTCTTTGTGGAAAAAGTAGCCACTGGGCAAGAAAGTGCCCTTGCCTCAACTACTAACAATATGCTGTCCAAATTAAACAAACAGTACCCAAAAGAAAGTGGTTGCAAAATCTTGCCAAGACAAGGCTGCTCAGCCCTTCAAAAATCCTGCTTCACAGAAAGGTCTGTCAGATATGCTAGGATATCTGGATGACCCAATGTTGCAGAAGAATCTTGATGACTGTCCAGGCAGCCAGATGTTTCTGACATTTCACATGTTTTTTTGGAAGTCAATTGCTTGCACTTCCTGCTTACTTAGTTATATTATTTCCTTCTTGGGTATCTAAGGGAGTTGAAGACTAGATAGCATATAGTTTTCCTTGTTTGCCAGACACAAAGATTGAGAAGCATTAAAAGATAATTTGATAGTGCAAATTAGAATAGAAAGTATATTAGGTACAGACATTGAACACACCAAGACACCAAGATAAGCTAGATAATGGAGTATTTTCTCTGAATTTGTCAAATGCAAATGGACTGGATATTGCTGATGTACTTTTATGTATGTATGTATGTATGTATGTATGTATGTATGTATGTATATTAGTTATTGTATACAGTTTCTTATGTTAGTTGTAGTCTTGCTTTCTGTATTAGACAAAAAAGAAGAATTGTGGCAATAAATTGTTTATGATTTAGTAAAGCTTGCCTAAGGGTTCAGAATACAAAGTCAGCCACAAGCCATAGAAGCCAGGACCCAGGAGACAGAAGTAGATAGATCTCTTGAGTTCAAGGCTACCAAGGACTAGACAAAAGTTAATCCGTCTGAAAAGAGAAACAGCTCACACAAAGGAGATCCCAGCACTTGGGATCACACAGCTTTAATCCTAGAACTAGGGAGATGGAGACAGGAGTGATATGGCTGGGCAGAGAAAGGAAAATAGGGTTGGAGGAGATGGAAACTCAGGGCATTTGCCTCTGAGGTTTTGTGGAAAGCATTTGTCTCTGGGGATTTGTGGAGACAGGATTACCCATTTTGGCCTGAAGGTAAGAACTAGTGGCTGGCTTTTTTGCTTCTCTGATCTTCAGCTTGAACCCCCATATCTGACTCTTGGATTTATATTATTCATGAATTTTGGGGGCACTGTGTTAAAGTGCCAGACACAAAACCACAAAGATCATATGAACTCATACATATGCAGGGTATAAAATGGTTATCAGAGAATGGGGAAAGGGACTGTAGAGATGGCGGGATAAATGCACCTGTCTCTAGTTGCATATATGGGCAGCACTAACTGGACTTAACAGGTTATTTTAAAAAACAAATATGAAGTTAGGAGGGGTGTGTTTGGGAGATAGGAGGGGTAGAAAATAGGGATAGAAGAAAATATTTCATTGTATATATGAATGAAATCTCAAAAATAACAAATTTTACCTTATCTTCAAAAATGGTAAAAACTTTATGTATACCAAAGACTTGTTTTAAAATACATTTCTTTATGACTTATTATTTAAAAATTGGGACATGTTTTACATTTTTGCAAATCTATTGACTATCCAGCCTAATTGAAAGGAAAAGGGAGTCTTGTATCTTCTAACATCACCTTTTTTTTATAATAATTTTGGTTGCTGTATATTTTAAAGATGACCCACATTCACTTGGAAAACAGAAGAGTATAAAAGACATCACAGATTTCTCACAGGTAGTTTTAAATACTGGACTAAGAGTCAAATAAGTAATGGATACTCTGCTTGTTTTTTTGTTTGTTTGTTTGTTTAGAGATAGGGTCTTGCTATGCAGCCTAGGCTTGCCCTGAACTCATTTATAGCCCCCTCAGCCTCCCCACTGCTGTATTATAGGCATGAGCCACCAGCTAGTAGTAGATTCTTAAAGGTTAGTTACAACATGGACTCTAAACCATATCAATAATGCCATTGAGCTTTTTACATTAAAAGCCATTGATTGTGGTGACATAAGGATGTTACCATTATGGGAAATTGGGTGGGAATGCTATAGGAATTTTCCAAACTCTTAAAATTCTTCTGAAATAAGCCTCAGTTACTTCAAAATAAAGATTATATTTGTGTGTGTGTGTGTGTGTGTGTGTGTGTGTGTGTGTGTGTGTGTGATGAACAAGGCACTGGATCCCCTGGAACTGGAGTTACAGGTGATTGAGATCGACCTGACGTGGGTGCTGGGAATTGAACCCTGGTCCTCAGAAAGAGCAGTACTGAGCCATCTCTTCAGCCCCAGTCTTTGTTTGTTGTTTTTGTTTTTGGAGACAAGAGCTCTCTATACAGGTAGCCATGGCTGTACGTACCTCACTGTACTGACCAAGCTAATCTCAAACTCACAGAGATCTGCCTATATCTATAGGGATAGAAGCTTTTGTATGTGTCCATGATTCTGGCTACTCAGCATGCAGAGATAGAAGAATCAGTACCTGAGGGCAGTCTGGCTATACAGCAAGGCCTTGTCTCAAGACACATTTTTTATATTTAAGAATAAAACCACACTGGTTCATATTGTACTTTGAACACTTTGAACTCATGCATGATGACTTTGCTACTCCACTCACTGGATCAACCCATCAAACAGAACTTTCAAGTATGGGTTTTATCTTACAGTTACAGAAAAGATGCACTTGTAAATGCAATCATGATCTTAGGAGAAAAAGCACTACATACTGGATAGTTTATAAGCTCCTTGTGACAGACATTTTCCAAAAATTCTTGCCTTTTGCTTGGGAGCAGGAGTTTTATCATTGGTGTAAATTTTGTCAGTTCCTTTTCTTGAAGTAACAGATTCTCTTTATTCATTTTTAAATACTTACCTATGAAAAATACATCATTGCCCGGCAATCCTCTCTTAAATAAAAATGGTGGGGCAATCCTCTCTTAAATAAAAATGGTGAACCATGAAAGAGACTAGTTTATCAAATTACTGAAACAAGCACACAACTTTTTTCTCAACACTCCTGCATACTGCAGCAGCAATGCTTTACCGTGGCCCTCTCATTTGTCACACGATACAATGTTTACTGTTTCCTTGTGGAGTGAAGCCATCAGTCACTTGTATGGAATGGTGAAAAATACATTGACCACTACCACTATGGTGCTAGAAGATTTCCTCACTGTATTAGTTGGCTTTCCATCACCATGACAAATATCTGAGCTAGTCAACCAGTAAAGAAAAAAGGTCTATTTTAAACCCCTTTAAAGGACTTGCAAAGGGTCTTGCAGTTTGGGGAATTTCAGAACATGATCAAGCAGACCTAGTGAGGGCTATCACACTATGGTGAAATCACACATTAAAGCAGATGGGTCAATCATAGCCAACAGAGGAAGAGAACATGTCCCCAATGACCAGGCAGCTTTTTAGCAGGACCAACAGGCTCAGCACCTCCCAATAGCACCAAACTGAGGGCTGAGCCTTCAATATGCGGGGCTCTGAGAGACATTCCAGATACTAACTGTGGCACCTACTGTCGATTTTATAGCCTTAGTACAAGTATGGATAAAAGGAGCATAATTTTAACGTTATAAACTGACAACTCTAGGAGGCTCTCACAATGTCCCAGGGATCCAGGAACCACACTTTGAGGATCAATCCATAATATGATAACTTTCTTATGCTGATGGGGGAGGGCTAATACTTGGAATGCCTAAAGAATTCCTGTAAATGGCCGATAAACATATCAAAAATATTTAACTTCACCACCCAGTTAAGAATAAGGTATGCAAACAGCAACAGACTGTCATTTTGCTCCTATGCCACTGGAAAAGTATGGAAAGGTGTAACAGTGCCAAGGGTGGAAAGAATATGGAACATCAAAATTTCTTAAAATTATCTCAAAGGAGGAGGCACAAACAGAGGCATTTTGACAATAATTAGCAATATTTAATATAAAGTTGAATGCTCCCCATTATGACTAGAAAGTAAGGCTTCCCATAAGTGATCTGATAGCTGCCTTTCATGTGTGTTTAGAGAGACCTGAACAAGATGGTTCCTGGAGATGTTGCTCAAAATGAAAAAAAAAAATTGAAAGTGACATAAATAATTGAGGAACTGATAGTATATTTATGATACCATAGTGTATGGTAAGAAAAAGAGGTTAAACAACATAATTGCACCTTTAAAGAAAAAAATGAAGAGGCACAAAATTAAGCTCAGGTTACTATAGTTTGATAGAATTGTGACATTAATATAGAGATTATGAGCATGCTGTTTGTGGACACAAAGCACATATTAAAATAAGGAATAGACATAAGCATGACACATACTGAATTTAAATAACTTTTGACTATAGTGTGAGAATCAAAGAAAAATATTATAGACTCTAGAATGCCATCAAAATGTCTCTGATATACATCAGAATGGTCTAAGGAAAAAGTACAAGCATAGACTTTGTACAAAACTGTCTGGGAGAGGGTTCAAGGGAGGGGCATGGGAGAGAGGAAGGGAGGGAGGACAGAGGGGGAACCAGGATTGATATGTAAAATATGAGAAAATAATAAATGGATATACATAGATGTGTGTGTGTGTGTGTGTGTGTGTGTGTGTGTGTGTGTGTGTCACCCTGCATGATGCTATAACCACAAATGCTGCCCTTGTGGCTTGCAACACTGATTCTGTTTCTAACAGTAGGGCAGATCAACATTGGCTACCGGTGAGAAAGTTGGGGGACAGAACCGGAAAAGAAGCAAGGGAACTGGTAATTACTGTAACCATTTTTAGAAACTCAAGAAAACAAACCTGATTGTGAACTGGTCAAGCAAACCAATAAAACGGTGTGAATAAAAATGGCTGGGGCTACTTGTTCGAAACAGGTAGTCACAGTTTCTCTGTTGGACCAACTTCACACATCCACACTAGGTCATCGGACCCATCTGGAGACATGCTTCCAGCAGAATTTAAACCCCACAGTCTATGTAAAGATCTGTTTCCACATGGAAACCCCCTAAGAAGCATGGCTAATTCTTAGGTGAGAAAAAACTAGAAAGCAGCAGTGTTCACAAAGAGAGACTGAGAAGCAATGATGCTTACTTCAGCAGAGCTGGAGCTGAAACCTGTGATCAGATTACAAAGTGATATAACCAGCTAGTTGCCTTTCTCAGGAACTGTCCCTGCTGACCTCCAGGCTGGAGCAGGAAACAGGAAGTGACATGCATAAGAGTTTCTGACACAAGAAAGAAAAACTAAATCCCAGCAGCTCAGTCCAGAATCCCCCACTGGGGCTCTGGACCAATCAGAGAAGGCATCTACCTCCACGAAGGGAACCCAACTCAAGTACTCTGCAAGGACAGTGTACTCCGAGGTAACTCTCCAGACCCATGCTTTCCTTTTCCTTTTGTCTGGGATTCCAGGCCATGGAATGATGCTACCCACGTTCAGCGTGGGTAGACCCAGCTGAAAAGAAACAATGAGACCAGCCTCACAGAAATACCCAGAGCTTTGGCTCTTAAATGAATATAAATCCTGTCAGGTTGACTTTAAGATTAACCATCACAACCAGTGAGCTTGAGTGCCTCTTTACATCTTCATTGTGACTTAAAATGTCTTCAGTGGACTGTGGACAAGTGGGGGTGGGAAGATGAATGATCAGGTGTTGGGGAGAATGGAGAGGAACAGTCTACCAAACACCAGGGTACAGCATTTCGGGGTCAAGTGAATCTCCCAGGAATCTACAAGGATGACGCCAGCCAAGACTTCTAGAAAAGAGGATAAGTGGACTAAACTGGTCATCTCCTTTTCCCAGGCAAGACTATTAGTGGAGGGAGTGGGACACCAGCCCAGCCACATAACCTTCTACCTACAGTCTGTCCTGCCTATGGGATGTGCTGGGTGACCTAGAGATTGAGGGAGTAGCTAACCAATGACTAGTCTAGCCAACACCCATGCCAGGAGAGTCATCCCACCACTAACACTCCATGGAGCACCAGGACCCAAAGACTGGATGACCCCCAAGCCCTAGGATAGAACCAAACACAACTGGGGGAAAAATATAATGTGAATGTAATGAGGCCTAATGATATTCTGCTATACTCATAGATTGGTGCCTAGTCCATTTGTCATCAGAGGGGCATCATCCAGCAGCGGATGGAAACAGATGCAGATGCAGAGACCCACAGCCAAACATTAGGCGGAGCTCTGGAAATCCTGCAGAAGAGGTCAAGTAAGGATGGTAGGAGCCAGAGGTGTCAAAGTCACCCCAAGAAAATCCACGGAATCAACTAACCTGGGCTCACAGGGGCTCACAGAGATTGAAGCAACAACAAGGGGTATGAGGGGGAGACTGGGAAGAGAGGAGAAAGGGAAAACTGTGGCCAGGATGTAAAGAAAGAAAAGAGTAGCCCTCTTGTAAACCGCTTGTTCAGACATTTTCCATTTTTTCTCTCAGTTGTCTTTTCCTAATTGATTTGGAAAACTTGTTTATATTTGCTGAATACTAACATTTGTCTGTTTTATATGTTGTGAATCTTTTCCTCTCATCTGTCTCCTATTTTGTTCTTTAAAAGTTTTTCCTATTTGTGTGTGCACATGCTTGCGTATATGTATGATATGTGTGTGAGAGCAGGTTTGTGTGTGCCACAGCATGAAGACAGTAGAAGAGAGAAGACAACTTCTGGGAGTTGATTATCTCCTACTGTGCTCTGAGGCAGGTATCCCTTCTTCCTGCTATGTTGTATACTCCGGGCCAGCTGGCCATGAACTTCTGGACAAATCTCCTATCTTGGCTTCCCATCTGGAGGTAGAAGTAACAGACTACACATGCAAGCCACTGCACATCATCAGGTCTGCTCATGAACTTTTACTCACTGAATCATCTTGATGGCCTTTGTCTTTTCCAAAAATATTTATTAAGAAGATTGTTTTTACCTAATGATGTTTTTCTTTATTTTCCTTGCTCTATATTTTAGATATCTCTATTTTGCATTTTCTTTTATTCCTCTAATAATTTTCTTACACATTTGGGTTTTTGTTTTTGTTTTTTTTTTATGCTGGCTTTTAATTTTCCTTAAGTCTTTTTTAGGGACTGGAGAGGTACTTCAGCAATTAAGATCACTGGCTGGACCTGGGTTCAGTTCCCACAAGGCAGCTTACAGTCCCAGAAGATTTGATGACTCTTCTGACCTCCAAGGGTTCTGCTCCGACATAGTACTGCAGAGACACACATTGAGGCAAACACTTACATACATAAAATAAAAATAAGTAACATCTCAAAAATATTAAATAGATAAATAAAAATCACAAAAAATACTGTTAGAAAATGCTGTGTGAAATAAGTAACATCTCAAAAATAAATAAAAATCACACCCCCCAAAAAAACCTATTAGGAAATGCTGTGTGTTGAGGCAGGAAGAACAGAAACTTGAATCCTAGTAGATAGGTCAGTGCTCAGATCCACTTTGTCTCCTAGTTTCCCAGTACATGTGGCTATGCCTGCCTGAAATTTCACTTACCCAACTAAAATAGACCACATTCCCCACTTCATCAATTCAAAGACACACACTTTAACATTTCTGCAATCAGGATGTGTCTTACAATCAACAGTGTGTCATGACTTAATTCACAAATACATACAGGTGCAGCTTCCAGGTCACTAAGAGGGTGAGGCTTGGAAGGATTGTTAACAGGGGCCAGACTTGTCTTCATTTGGGAGAGTTCTTCCCAAAGAATGAAAGTGCTCTTGCTTTCCCTGCCTCCCTGGTCTCTTTTACTTTTTATCTTCCTACAAGTTCTCAGCTGCCACACCCTATAGATTCAGAATGTCTGGAGATAGTAGTTTGTTGGTGTTGGTGTTTGGTTTTGTTGTTTTTCAAGACAGGGTTTCTCTGTGTAATAGCTCTGTCTGTCCTAAAACTCTCTTTGTAGACTAGGCTGGCCTTTAATTCACTGAGATCCTACTGCCTCTGCCTCCTGAATGCTGGGATCAAAGGTGTGCATTACCACACCTGGCTTGGAGCTGGTATTTAAGGGTCCCATATAAAGTTACTCTTTCTCCATAACTTCAAAAGATGTGCCTTCATCCCTGGGGTCACTCCCACCTGTGAGATACCTAGAGCTATCACAACAGTCCCTACAGATGACTCCATACTCTCTCACAACAGACTCTGCTCTTGTCCCTCTCACTATCCACCTAGTAATGTTGCAGCTTCTAAAAGGCTGGCCTGGAGATATGGAGCTGTGAATCCTGGTGATCTTTAACAGATGGGGCTGCCTCAGTAGATCTGGGGAAAGCAAAACAGAAACAGGAATAAGGCAGATGAGAAGAACCAGAGACCATCAGCTGGTACCATGTGTAGGCACCAAGAACTATACATGGTGGTCCATAAACTACTTAAAACTACTTATGGGGGAAGATAAGCTTAGTAACTCCATTTCTCAGTACAGAGGAAGGACTGAGCTGTGGGAGAGAAGTGATTGTGTCCAGTAAGGTTGAGACTGTATCACTTAGATGCTTGATCACTGGCTCCTGTTCCACCATCCTGGCTTTGGTTTCAGGATTGAATAGGAGCATAAAGTTAATCTCTACCAAAGTCAAGTCCATGAGCCTGATGGTCCATTAACTCATGGAAGGTTCACTAGATGACATAAAACAGATGGGTACAACAGATAAGACTGCTATGAGATCATCTCTTGGTGCCACAGACTATCAGTCAAACACATAGACACATGCCAAGCTTCATCCTGCCTTTCAGAGATCATTAACTTTGCTTCATTTCTCTGACCAAGTAGGGATCCTGTGTCCAGACACAATCACAACCAATATCATTCCAGACCATGGGCTATGCCTCCCATTGTCAGCAGATCATAGCAGCTCTTAGTGGATTATCTCTCATGCCTATCATAAAACTATGTCTTCATTTCACCCATAAGAATGTTTATCAACATCCCAAAATGAATGAAGTCTTCTGGAATTGTTGAATTTCTTCCCACTTATCCTTCATATTGAAAATAAATGGCAAATCACAGTAGGAGAGGTGGCTTGAGAGACACATAAAAAGACTCCATCCTCCAACCTGCACTATCCTCTACCATTCAGACTTAGAATAACAGAGGGACCAAGCAGGTGCTACTCCCATACCACTACACCAGGAAAACAGAGAGAGGAATGTGACCTGCCTCTTACATTATGTGCCTACAAGGTGGCTGAAGGTTTCCAAATGGAGACACTTTTACAATCCCCCATTACTGAAAACAAAAAGAAACAAACAAAAAACCTCTGTTACTCCCAGTGTAAGGTGAATTTCCAAGGTTATACCACTAGGTGATAAAATCCAAGTGACCTGGTCCATCCACCAGGCTATACACATTCTTAAAACAGCATCAATAGCTGGGCATGGTGGTACACACCTTTAATTCCAGCTTTTGAGAAGCAGAGACAGGTAGATCTCTGTGAGTTTGAGGCCAGCCTGGTGTACAAAGTGAGTTCCAGGATAGCCAGTGCTGTTACACAGAGAAACTCCATCCCTAACCCTCCCTGCTTAAAAAAAAAAAAAAAAAAAAAAAAAAAAAAAAACTAGCATGGGTAGAGGAACCGAGACTACTACTCCTGGCATTGAATACTTTAAGAACTAAATCTAGCCCCAAGTGTTCCCAACTTGAAGTATAAGTTTTGGTGTCACCAAAGGGAATGAAGTAGCCAGGGGAACATGCACAGATCCTATAATGTTGGACTGATTGAAGGAAATCTTGTGGGAGCATAGTTATGACACACTATCCCAAAGTCTCAGTGTGACCACATGACTTTCCATTGGACAAGAAATGGTCAGAAGGGTAAACAGCCAATGTGACAGTAAATGAGCAGATTTCTAAGCTGGGTACCTCCATCTACTGCAACTAGGTCAGGAGACTGACAGTAGATGAGCAGATTTCCAAGCTGGGTATCTCCATCTACTGCAACTAGGTCAGGAGATGGCTCCAAAGGGGGGGGGGGGGAGTGAAAACAGAAGTATCTCATAATGATAGAAACAATGTGTCACCATCCCTGATCCCAATGTCTTGTCCTTTCTCCTTATCATGGAGCTCTAAGTTGTCATTCTAGCTTGCTTCTGTTGTCCCAAATATATGCCACAGAGTTGAGAAAGTCACCAAGGTTTGTGAACTAGAATGACCCTAGGTTTACTCACAGCCTCATCAGACATAACTAGACAGAGGCCAGGACATTTTGCTCTGACTTGAATGTAAGTGCCATCAGAGTGTGATCTGAGCTCACAAGTGGTCAGGCCTAATACTATCAGCTGGAAATTTTTTTACCAGTAAAAGGGGGGGGCAGAGTGGGGAACAATGGCCAGAAGGAGCATGACACCATCTCAGGATGAGCATGGCTGAGCTGGGTTGCAGAGCAATCCCAAGAGGCCAGCATACAGCTCATCAAGAGCACAGAAGCGGTGTCCTTCAGAACAAATTAGAGGAGAAGGCAAGTACGCAGAGAAAGACAATGTCAGAGGCTCCTAACTTGAGACACCACACAGGTGCCTTGCATGACACCTAGCTCCTGACATTTAATGTCAACTGTGTACCCTATGATCCTTTTACTTGACGTTTGAAAGGCTAAAGCTATACCATTCATCAGTGTCAGTCCTTGGGATAAGTGAATGTACATGTAAGTGGCTAGACAAGAGAACGAGTGACATGTTATTCATTTAATTGGACTTCCAAGATCAGAAGGAACTTGTATAGGAAACGACCAGTTATGACACTCTAGGTCAAAGTCATGGGATGTGTATTTGACTCCATTTCTCAGCAGCTGGGTGCTCTTGGCTATACTGCATCTATTTGTTGAGGCTCAGCACTCTCATCTGAAATAGGTTCATGGGGAGCCAGCCTTCAGGTATGTGCCTAAACAAAGCTGACATGGTGTAGAGTCTTCAAGACCCCTCATCATGATCCCAGGACAGGAATCAAGCACTATGCACTCTCAACCCTTCAGCAAACCAGGATTTTTGGTTCCTGAGGCACAGCCAGTCCCTCATCTAGAATTGCCCAGGGTCAGGTCCAAGCAGTTCCCAGGGGCAGCACAGAAGCACAGTCTGACATCAGGATGAGATTTCAGTCTAGGATGCACACAATCCTCAGCAGACTCCCCCTCTTTTCTATTCTTTATAAATCACAAATTTAATTACCCAGAAAAGAGTCTTCTGCACCAGAAACCCAAATGAGTTTAATGTATAATTTATATACAGAAATGTAGATGTCAGTATATGATAAATCTTCACATAAATATTTTTGCAGTTAAATTTTTAGGCATCTGTCATCTTCCCAAAGGAGCTACCAGATGGATTTGTGGTCTTAGGACTCAGGCTGAGTGGGGCTGGGAAGGTTTGGCTTGTAGACTTCCTCATCCGGTATCCAGTTGCCAGAGCAACAAGCATGGACTCAGCACCAGCCCTCTACAGTCATGTCAGAGCTCTGTTACAACCACCCTTCAGGGTTGGGGGAGTTGGGGGTGTTCCTGCTGTTTCTTGTTCAAAACAGGCAATCAACAGTGTCCCAGTTCTATGTCAGGCCCAATGGAGGAAAACACAGTGAAATATAGCTCCAAGTTTCAGCACTTTGGAATCTACTTGGAAAGCCAGACAAGTGAATGATGAATAACAATGCCAGGGTGACAAATGCCATTGGGGTTGGTCTGAGTGCCAGGAAGCTACAGAGAAGCAAGTCCTCCCTACACCAAAGGCATACCTCAAGACTCCAGGAGTAGGGAAGGTGCTGATATATAAAACAAGAAGTCATCGCCAACAGTAAGAAAAATATACGCACAGACCAGTGTGAGAGTGGACATGATTAGGTAGGGCCACCATGCCTATGGCATGTATTGGGACAGACCAAGAGTGAGCCTGGATTGGAAAGTAGAAGCTAGGTCGCCAACATGCCTCTATGAGCAGCCCTGGAACAGGACTTGGCCTGGATTGAACACTTTGAAGAGATCATAGCTACACTTTACTTGATGAATAGATGGAGGCCAAGTGAAGGTCACAGGAACAAAAAAGAATGCAAGTGTATTTGTGTTGCAAAGTATAGAGTTATAGAAATGTGTTATGATAAAAATAGCCTTTACATTATAAAAGACTAGAACTTTTGCAGGACCTCATAGCCAGAGTTAATAATATACCGTGAGGTATTATTAAGACTTAAGGTTGCTATCCTACTGTGTACTCAGCCTGTTTATTTAATCTGCCTTTAAGAAGACAGTGCAGCAACCAATGTAATTGCCTTGATTTTTCATGTTATCAAGTTTTTCTATCTAAACTAATGCATAGCTATAATCTAAATCCAACTTGCTTTTCTGGACTGCGCCAAGTTTTAGCCTTTAAGACTTTGAATAATATGACCACAGGGCACATAGTTGACTCGAGTATCAGCATAGGGAATAGTATTGACTCAAGTGCCAGGAGCCAAGTGTCATGCAAAGCAGCTTCCATGCCACTCACTCAAGAGTAATTCAAGAGTGTTTTCATATGTGTGTTATAATAATTACTTGCCAAAAAAGGGGAAATATAGGTTACAAACAATCTTATAAAATGAATATCCACCATAAATGTTCAAGGAAACACACAAATATTGCTTGATAAACACTGATGTTTACAGTACTCTTTGTTATCTGGGCACTTGGGGTCAATGGCTTAGTCTCTCATAAAACTTTGTTAAAGATTTCCTTCCCCCAAGTGATACTTCCTGTAGAGTTCAATAAAAGAGAGAGCAGCCCCTTTGTTAGAGACAGCAACAGACAGCCTTCGAGCAGGCACATAATCAGACTCACACAACATAGAAAAGACAATGGAAGACATAGTGTGACTGAAGAAGCTCATCAAACCTGGGCTTGATCAAATGACACCAAGGAAAAATGTGTTATTGATCTCTTTCCTTAATGCATGCAACACCAAGACACTATTGATGGCTGTGAATTTACTATTAATGCATTCAAACACCATAAAGTGCAATATACACAAATCTACTCTGCAAGGCATGATCTTGTATCCTGTGCAATAGCCTATCTGATACAAGCTAGAGGTCACAAGCAGGTCATTCAGCATCAGTCCATGGCTTTGGCTGACAAATGACTTTGAATATAAATTACCTGAAAGACAGGCAGAGCCCTTGCTTCTTGCCTGAAGAAGCTATTGCCATTTAGAGATGATGAATCATTGCACAATTCCTTAGAATTTCCTTAGAATCCTTCTGCCAGATGTGCTGTGAGAACCCAAACACAACTCACAGCATCCTTTCATATGAAGACATGCATGGAGATGCATGTCGCAGAGGACAGGCCTGAGCTGAGAACCAGGGTCTACATGGTAGGGAGGAAGGAACTACATAATATCGTCAATGCACTGACTAGAACTGATAGAGGGGGGAAGAATATGCCCTTGGCTTGGGTGTATACCTTAGTGGTAGAATGCCTGTTGGCTTGCACTAAGCCTTAGATTCAGATCCCAGAATCAGAAAAAGAATGATAGAAAAGACTATGTTCTCTATTATCTACCACACAATTGCCAACTATCTGAACACAGTTTCAGTGGTGTCTTCTCAGAACTTGGGCCTTATACAACAAGACAATGCAAGTCCCCATTTCCCCAGCCCATCTGGGTCCTACATTATCCCGGCCATCTACAAATCTACAAATGTAGTTGGAAGATAGAAGCCCAAGCTAGTGCAACCAACCAGAGCCCCCAGCACAAGAGTTTCAAATCCCCCAGTCTTTTATAACACTGGTGCCCATATGAAAGGAGCACTCAGTCTTGACTCATTAACTTTTTCACCTCCAGAAGGACTGGAGACTCCAAGCCACATACCTCGCTTGACCTTCGCAGGCCTGAGGCCTTCTGCCTGGGCCAGAGTGTCCCATGCCTCCCGCTCCCTCCAACGCCGAAGCTGCTCCTCTCTCATCTTGTAGAACAGGATGTGCTTTTGCACATCACTGAGCTCAGCCAGAAGCTCAGGGTCGATGTACATGTCGTGCAGAATCTGCTGCAGCATGATGCTGTAAGGGACACACACTCAAGTGCAGCCAGTCAAGACTGCAAGGCCAGGCAGATCTCCAGCCCAGGCCAGTGCCTGGAGCCAATCTTCTTCCCTGGGTCCTCACTTTGGGGCCACTCCAGGTGTCCTTTCCTTGTATAGCATCTTGGTTCTATCTCAGCTGCCAGCCAGTGGCAGCAATAACCAAGGAGCTGTGAGAATCAGAGGCGGGTTGCTCAATGATCATTGCATTTCTGCAGTGCCTTGCATCATGGCTTCACCTGGAGCTCTGGGACAATAAGGGTCCAATCCTCTGTTCAGACCCAACCCTGCCTGGGTCTGTAGGTGTCGAGTGATCTGTTAGTGGAAGGTAACAATGACACCAGCTGTATCAGTGACACTGGCCTGGCCAGCTGAGAACTGATCCCTCCCCTGAAGATAAGAGGGGGTGGGGAAGAAGTAGCTTTGTCTACTAACTCCATGCTTTTGAGCCAATGTCACAGAGACGAATGGAACATTCAGATGCTTCTGGGACCCCCGACTCCACACTGGCTGCATCTGCTTCACCAAGGACAGCCTTCCTCGGGTCAGGGCACCAGGAAGACTGAGGTATTTAAAGGGCCTTGTGGAAGAAGAAGAAGAAAAAATAAATCTTCCCTCCTATCTGTTTTGGACTCAAGGAAAACAAAATGCATTCATTCAGTAGAGGCAATGTAGGGGTTGTTATCACAAAGTTCAAGGCCATGAAGCTGACATCACTTCTGTTTCCCCCTAGAGCAAACCCTTAAGCTTTGCTAGTGCTGACAGATGGCCTCTCCAGGGGGCCACTTGGGGGTTGTTGTTGTTGATGTCTTTGTTGTCACAACCTTATTACACAAAGTAAAACTGCCTTTGTGCCTTAACACAAGCATCTGTTTGGCTCAGAGGATAGTAGGAGCTGCTGTTGCTGAGACCAGAGTCTCCCATCTAAACTTGTCTGCCAGCTACCCTCAGGTGCCCTTTACAGGAACAGCATGGGAAGGTAGAGGAGGCCTATAGCTATCCAGACAGTAAGTTGCTGCACCAGCACTCCAACTAGGTTTCAAATGTGACATCATCTTGGTCGTTCAAAGCTGCAACCCTATCAGAGGGAAATGGGCAGATAGAGTTTTGGCAATGGGAGCCGGTTGGATTGGTGGCATCTGTGTCTCCCCTTCCCTGAGGAATGAAGGTGGATCCAGCAACCAAGACTGATGGATGGGATGAGTGGGTGTGAATCAGTCTCCCTCTGCAAGATCAAAGTGAAGGTAAGTAGGGCAAAGCAGACTCTCACTAGCTAAGCCCACAGGGTCAAAAAGGCACCCTCCTCTCGGGTCAGTCCCTTTGTTCCAATGTGACTCAGAGCTCAAAGCCTCCACATAAAACCTCCTCCTGGGACAAAATGTGGCCTTGCCCAGGATCCTTCCTACCCTTCCTTCCTCACCACAAACCTTACCAGCTAACCCCACTAGAGCCCGTGCTTGGAAGCCACCTTGTTTTCCCCAGTCAATCCCTGCCTCTGATGTATTTTTCTTTATGTATTTTTCTTTCTCACCCTGTGTGCTGGTTAGTGTTTCTGAACTTGACCCAAGCTGGAGTCACATCGGGAGAGGAAACCTCAATTGAGAAATGGCCTCCATGAGACAGGGCCATGGGTATGTATGTAGGTGCATTTTCTTGAGTGATGAGTGCTGACTGCTGTGGGAGGGCCCAGCCCACTGTGCCATTCATAGGTAGGTGGGCCCGATATGTATAAGAAAGCAAGCCAAAGGGAGAAAGTAAGCCACCAAGCAGCCTTCCTGACAGATCTCTGCTTCAGTCCCTTTCTTGGCTTCCCTAGGTGATAGAGTGTAAGTTGGTTTTGGTGTTTTATCACAGCAGTCTAAGGCTGTGGACAGCAGTCTAGGACACCAAAGGCGAAAGGACACAAACGCATCCCGCCTTTCTGTGTGTCCCCAGATAACTGTCTGGGGATAGAGGGCAGAGTCCTCTGTTAAGAGCAACGGAGTGGGCCACCTGTCTAAGACCGAGGGTTTCAGTTCTTTGAAAGCGGTTGCGACCCTAGGGATTAAAGACCTGGAGGAATGGCTTGGGATAGAGCTACAGAGGCTTTCTCTGCGGGGGGTGGGGAGTAGAGGTGCTTCCTGGCAACCCTTGGTCAGTGGGGCAGGAGGCCAAATGACACCAAATCCAGGGACTTGACCCAGCCATAGGATCAGGTTTCTGGAACACTCAGGGGTCAGTTCCACCACACTGGGCAGCACCTGCGCCCGCATTCGCCCGTCCCTGTCCAGCAGGTTGGGTCCGGCCTGGGGCGCCCCCTGCCGGCTGCACCAGACCACAATCCAGGTTTGAACCCCATGGTAAGGGCTCAGGAGCATCTTCAGACAGGTTGCATTTTTTCTTTTTCAGTGGTCCAAGTGGTGTGTTTCCTGTTACACGCTGACACGGTTCCTTGTGGAGCAAGTCTGTTGTGCAAGTTTCTGGAAACCACCTGGATGCCACTCAGCTGAGGAGCATTATTCCTGTCACAAAGAACTATGACATCAATTGTCCGGAGGAGGGTGAACACCCAGGGCAGATAACTGAAAAGGCAAACAAAACAAAGCAAAAAAAAAAAAAAAAAAAAAAAAACACACAAAAACAAAAACAAAACAAGAAACACGTGGTATACTGTCCAAAGTGTGGTTCGTTTTAAAATGTGTTTGAAGCCCTAGGAAGTGGACAATATGGAAGATTGCACACTTAACTGTTTAGCCCAACTACTTGGTTTCTTCTTAGAGAGTAGGGGTTATTGTTATGATTAATGTGATCTTATGTAACTCGCATGATTGAAACCAAATGTATTTCAAAATTCCTAAAATGTGCTCCACAAACGCCACCCCTAGAAATTAGCCCCCTTGAGGCTCACTGCTAGAAAGAGCCATGATAGCAAAGCCAGACCTCTGTACCCTGGGGAAACAGAGGGGTCCAAGTCATTCTATGGTTTATTCTTTGAATAAGAACAGGTCATACCTGGGTGATCTTTCAAACATGAGATCATACTTTGCAATCAATCACCTTGTGCCCCATGCATGTATGCTGATTGCGGTCTTTGTCTATAAAAAGAGCCTGAACCCTTTGGGAGGTGTGCAGCTTTCCCCGAGATTGCTGTCACCCGAGTGCACTCGTTCAATAAACACCTCTTGCTTGTTGCATCTCCTGGTTTTGGTGTTTGTGTCTTGGGGCTCTCCCATAGGCCCATCAGGACCCCAGAATTAGGGGCCAACAGGGAAAAGCTCTGAGAGTTTCTGAGAGGAAATGGCAAAAAGGAATTGGGAAAAAAAAATCTGCAGGGGGATACCCCTCCACAACCCATTAGACTGGATTTGTTTGTTTTTAAAGATATGGTTTCACTGTTGTTCTGGCTGTCCTGGAACTCATTTTCTAATCCAGGCTGGCCTCAAACTCACAGAGATCTGCCTGCCTCTGCCTCCCAAGTGCTAGGAGTAAAGGTGTGGGCCACCAATGCCCAGCATTAGGCTGGATCGTACATGTCTCATGTATCTCACACTGGCCTAGAATTAGCTATGCCTTAGAGTAAGACTTTGAATACCTGATCCTGCTTCTACCTTCCCAAGGGTGGGGGTTCCTAGAATGTGCCACCACACCTAGCTTTATGCAACTAGTGCTGGGGGTTGAAATCAGGGCTTAAGCACAGTCCCAGCCCAACTTTCAAAATTTAAATCAGAGCGTGTTATTTCTCTGAGCAAAACTCAAGTTACTGAAACCCTAAACTCAAAAGTCCTACCAGGGCCATCAAGATCCCAGAATCTGCACTGATGACCTCTCTCACCAGTCTTGGGGTCACTAGCTTTAGCCTGTGGCCTGGGCCAATCACTACCTGACTGCTCAGGTAACACACCAGACCCCCCCTCCTCCCCAGGGCCTCAACATGGGCTTAACCTATGTTGAGTGCTGCTCACACAATCCCAGTCTTAGTTCATACCCCTTTTTGCAGTTCTTGAACATGAAACCCAGGGCTTTGCACTGTATGGGTTATGCTATGGAACTACCTTCTCAGATCAGCTCAAGTTCACTCCCCTATGCTTGGGATTCTATCCACTCATCTCCTCCAGTCTGTTTTTCCTTTGTAAATGACTTTAAGTATTGATTTGTTACTATGTGTTTTGTCTGTCTCCCTGGTAGATAATGAGTGACCAAGGGTGGGAGCTTTCATCTGCTTCATGTGTAGAAAGAACTCTGCTGAGTAGTACTAGTTACACATCTACAGAAAGGAGTAGGATGGGGTAGGCAGACAGCCCTGCTGTGACTTCTAACAGGCAGGAAACTCTGGGTTTGACCCTCAGCACCTTATACACCAGGAGTAGTGCTGCACAGCTGTGATCCTAGGACTTGGGCAGCAAAGGGAGGAGGCTGGGGAGTTCAGTTTCAGCTATTAGCAGACTTGACACCAGCCTGAACTACTTGAGACCCTGTCTCAAAACAAGGTGGAGAAAAAGATAATGAGGGAAGATCTTTCTATGTAAAACTGACCAGAGCCTGAACAAATGCTGTGTAGTTTAGTTGCTGGACACTTGGACCCAGCAATCATGGGCAGATGGACTTCAGGAGATGGATGAACGGCCCTATCATAAGCTACTTGCCCTGGCTTCCCAATCATCCCTGACCATGTGGTCCCCAGTAGGTAGTGATGGCCAGAGGACTCCAGCCTTCTAGCTGCAGCCAAGAAGTCTGTGACAGTGACTACTACTGAAAGATTAGTGATAGGAGCCATCCCCTTAGATACCGCCCACCTGCCCTGGCACACTCTCACTTAAGGCAAAGGGATCTCAGTTGTACAGGCCAAGAGCTCCGTGAAAGTTAACAGTAATTCATCTCATTACCACCAATAACGTTAACAATAAGGTACTAAGCCAGGCAACAACTGGGCATGTTACTCTAATCCCAGCACTCAGGAGGCTGAAGTGGAGAACCAAAAGCTTCAGACCAGCTGAGGTTACAAAAAAGACCTTGTCTCCAGCAGGAAAACCATTAGTGTCCCTGTATGTATGTGCAGTAAATACTTAAAATATCCTATGTGAAAAGCAGATCCCCTGCCAAGCATAGGAACCAGGCATTCAACACAAGAAAAGGGTAACAA